AAAGACAATTCGCTGATGGTTTGACAAAGAGCTCTACAAGAAGCCTGCTGGCTGATCGCTTGAGGCGACACCGCATCAAGCTGGCCTGGGATCCTCAGTACACCTCGGCCAAGAAAAAGAGCAAACAAGAACGTGAAGAAAGTCGGCAAGAGTTCGCCGACGCAAAAGTGAAGAAGAAGACCAACACGAAACAACACAAACCACAACAACACCACCTCAACTCCACCGAACACCTTGAAAGTGTGCAGGAAGAGTCGAGCTTTGAGGATGAGAATGCCTTGCAGGATGAAGCCGCCGACACTGGACCTACATCATGGCCGAGTTCCAAGTCCTTGAGAACCCCAATGGCAATGATGATCTACTTCACACAGATCAAGGCTGTTACGGCAGAGTCCACAGATGACTTCACGCAGTTGAAGCCAGACGGTCTTTGTTTGGCTGGCGATGAGCCTGCTGAGGAATGGTCCATTTTGACCTATTTGTTCCTCTTCATCCTCTTCACCACCCTCGTTGTGAGCTACCTGACCTACAAGCTGGGCAGATTTCATGAGCACCGCCGACAGGTGAACGACCTGAAGGTCAAGTTGAGGGTGGCCCAAGCTCGAAATGAACGACACTTCGACAGTGCGTTGGATGACCAATGCCTGTTCTTCGACCGCCGCATCTCCCAGCTGGAAAACGATTTGGTGAAAGCTGCTGAGGCCAATGCGGAAACCCGCCGGCATCACAACGAGATGATGGAACAATGGCGCTTAGAACAGCAAGAAGCCGAAGAAATCGACCATTCCTTTCGACAATGTCAGGCTTTGCTGTCGCGCTGCTACCGGGAACTCCTGGACCATTTTGATGAAGACTGCCCTCTCACCACGGGCACCCATGTGACGCCCTTCGGTCACACCTTCCACGTCCGAGCTGATTGCCACGGCCTGAAGCAGGCTCACAGAGTTGATCGACGTCCTTGTTGCGCTTTTTGCAACCCTACTCCTCAGACTCCTCACCGAGTCAATGGCTTGAGCGGCACCACCCTCCAGGAAGACATGATATCCTGGAGGCGCGACTATGGCAACCTGTCATACGAGGAGTGGATGATCGACTGAGAGTACAGCTGATGAGTTTTTTTGTCTCAAGCACCTTTTACCGGTGTGAAATTGCTGATGGCATTTCAAGCCACTTGTCAGTATGTGTGG